TAGCCATGGCCTCCGACCTAGTAGCGATGGCCTCCGACCTAATAGCGATGCCCCTCCAACCTAGTAGCTCTGTTTTGCCAGCCACAGTTCCAAGCACTGTTGGGCTGCTGCCTCACCGGCATCTGGAAGCTCTTGAGCCATGGCCTCACACAAACGAGGTGCACCTCTATCCAAAGACTGGGTCGCTAGGTGTACACCTGGTACAATGACGTGCATCATGATGTAGCTTAAACAAAGCCCGTCCCTCGCACCAACATCTATGGGATCTAGAGCTTTCCTTGACCCACGACCTGTTCAGCTCTCCATGGTCAACGGTCTCTGTGACCGTAGGGCCTCCTCAATCTCTTCCGCAGTGTAACCCAAGAACTTCAAGGACTCCTCGAGCGAATAGGAAATTGTTTGCACGAGAAGAAGTCGGAAGGCTGCCAAGCTATTGCTCTACAGGACCAGGCTTCCAATGTTCGACAGCTTTGCTTGTAAACCAAAGCCAACTGCATGGACAGTCCCGCTCATCGTTCAACACCAAGTCCGACATGATGCCCGGAAGCTCGAGATTGGCCACCTGCCATTCTGAATTTCCCTCGCGTCCAAACCTTAAGACCTTTGAGTCAGCCTTTGAATAGGAATTTCTGAGCCAGACATCAAAATGATCGAATGATCTTCCGCCTTTGGCCATACCTCCGGCGCTGCCACCGGAGGTCGGATTCGGGTGGCGTCTGCCGTACGGCCCGGGGAGCGCCAGAGGTCCTGGTTGAGACCACTCACCGAGTTGGCGGTCAGAGTCGTTGTCCGAAGAAGATTGAAAAGACTTTCAAGATGAAAAAATGGTTTCCGGAAAGTTGTTTGATCATCGCTATTAGGTTAGAGGCCATTGCCTCTAGGTTGGAAACCATTGCTATCGCCAGAGAGATTGGCTTTTCGGGAACAAGCACTTGTGAAGGGCTGGTGTCTACAGTTGCTACTTAGTCATGTCCTACCTACTTGTCTTCACTCGTGTTCTAATGTGGGAGGACTGGCCACGCTTCGTGGGAAGACTGGGAGCTTCATTGAACCTACTAGCGATGGCCTCCAACCTAAATGCGATGCCCTTGTTATTAGTAGCTTCTTGCTCCTAGTAGCGATGCCCTTTGTTACTAGTAGTTTCTTGTTCCTAGTAG